GGCAAACAAATGCTAGCATACCATTCTGCATTAACCGTTCTTTGTCCCTCAAGATGAATAGACGTAACATGGCCGGTTTTGGAGACAAACGTGGCCACCATTTGTTTTTGCAACACTCCGTGAACGAACGTTTTGTTGACTTTAACTCATTTTCGAACACCCAATTTCGAAAACTCGTGACTGGTTTTTTGTTTCGGGTTCGTACGCATATATCCAAGATTCGTCACCTGATACAATATTGTATACAGCATTTGAGGATCCTGCGTGGAATCTTTCGAGAGTTCTGACGCACCAAGTAACGCGAGCCGCTTTTTGCTCTTCACAGAGCGAATGCGGTATCCATCGGGAAAACAACTTTTTTGCATCTAAATATTCACGCAAGATTATTTGTATTTGACTCATGCCAATGTCTAAAGTTGCTTGAATTCCACGGTATGTCACATGTCGATCTTCCTCAATCAGCTTACGCACAGCATCAACGTTTTCTTGGGTGACTGCAGTTTTTGGACGACCTTGACGGGGATCATCACTGAGCTTGACACGTCCCCGTTGTAATTCAGCAAACCAGCGATAAATTTTGATTTTGAATGTGGCTTCATCACCAAATGCAGAAATCATCCGGTCAACACACTGTTTTTGTGTTAAACCACTTCGAAGGTCATAATAAATCATCGCTCTTGAATTTTCTCAAGTCAATTCCATTTTCTCAACGACTAAACAAGTTTGACAAAACCTTGGGACAAGATCGAGAATATTTTTTTAAATAAATAAATGGTATTCGATTTTTAAAACCAAGGAGTTTTCAATTAAAAAGATTTTAATATGACAGGAACAGTAAATATATTCCATTCCCGATACTTTTAGTGCAGCCTATGTATCTAGCACAGTGGAATATGCCTCATATACCACGGTCTGTATGTATTGTCTTCTTGTGCTTAGATTTTCTTACTCCTTGTGGGTTCAGTCTTCTAGCATTCAGATAATTTTAAAGAAATTAACACATCTCTAAATAACTATAGAAAAGATTCTAAATGTATCTTTAAACTCAATTTTTATAAAATTTGGAGCTATAACGATAAATGTAAAAAATACTTCCAGTAGTCAGTAATTATAAAGTTTGTTACAGCCTATAAACATCCTACTGCTGGGTACATGCCTCCTCGTATTTTTGGAAGGGTTGTTTGTAATTTATAAGTGATTAAGTAGACCTGTGATTTACTGCAGAGCCAAAACAGACATGAAACATTGTGTCCCAACAAGAATGTTCCACTGGGAGTTAACCAACAGAAACTGGGACATTTTATTGGTATGTTGTGCTCGGAAAAATTTTGTTTCATAATTTCCCTAATTACCAAGAGCTGCCAATGAATTTAGTCACTGGCTACACTCTTTACGATCAAGTAGTCTCGTCACATTACTTGGTAGGAAAATTTTGCACTTAATTATAGGAATCTGACTAGGAGCAGCCATTAGTTTAGCTCGAAAGACTAATGTAAAAAAATCTTTAATTTAATTTTGACTTTGGACAAAGCTTATGTTTTTTTAATTTATTTAGAGTGTAACCACATTATAAACATTTAATATTCACTAATTACATGAAAGCTTATAAAACATAATCTGACATAATATAAGTGTATAATATCAGTGTACATTACATTTACTACCTCACATAGTATTATACTGAGTGGAAGGACAAGTACAATTAAAACAAACTGTGAGCTAAATAAGTTTAATTAAGTTTTTTTTAGATTGTGTAAATTGTCTATGGATACTATTTCCTCCACCAACTTGTTGCACACTCATTACATATTTATTAACTTACCAGTGGGAAGTTATTGTAATGGGGCCGATTTTGCAAATTGGAAATTTTACCATATCTCCATGTTTCAAGGTCTTTAGAGTTAAATAGTATGGTTTTTAGGAGGATGTCCGTATGTGCACATGAGAAGCCTAGTGTATCTTGAGAACAAAGAGTGAATTTGACATGGGACCAGTTTCATTTAACACATAATTATGTAACTTAGACCTCATTAAATTTTGAGCAAAATCGGGCATATATAATAATAATATAAAATATTAAAACGCATGATATTTTTTTATTCTTTCCACTGGGAAGTTAGTCGTGTGGACCTTTCGGGTCGCACCTAGACCGCTTTTTTAGTTATGGGAAAATGCAGAGAAAAATTGTTTTTATAATAGATCTATAAAAAATGTACCTACTACTTTTACTTCTATTAAATCCTGGTACAGGGAAATGTTGACTTTGAATAAATTACTGCATTCGAGTTTCCCTTGTGGCAGCTTACGTAGGAATCATATATTCAGTATGCATCTTCTGTTACTTAAGGACATAATCTTCAAATACAACAATCATTACTTAGCCAAATAGTAGTGCATTTGCACTACTGTGAAACGGTCTGAAGCGTATAGGGAGCCAGTGTGATTACAGGCTTTTTTTTATAGGATAGGGTGACAAACGAGCACACAATCCACCTAAGTAAGTGGTTGCTGTGGCGCATAGACATCTACAGTGGGTTGCCAAATTATTAGGGACAGTTAAAAAAAATGCATTTGTCAAGTATTTGGCTTAAATTAATGAATAAAACAAAGGCTTTTTAATGTAACTACGTTTTAATAATTAGGACAATATCCTATAATATCATAAAAGTAATAATAAATATTATAAAGACATTAAAAATAATTAAAATTAAATTAAATAAGCAAAAGATGTTGTCGAATTTTACTGGTCAGTAATTTGTAACATTTCCCTTGGCTGCAATTAGTGCTTCTATGCGTCTGGGCATACTTTCTATGCATTTTTTAGCACTTTCTTTTATTTTAGGATTGTGATGCCAAACCTCTATTAGCTTTTCAATCAGTCTTACCTTGGTGGTTATCATTTCTTTGGCAATTTCTGCTTTAGTGATCTCCCAAAGATTTTATATGGGATTCATATCAGGAGGATTGCCAGGCCAAGGTAAGACTGGAATGATATTCTCTTCTAGAAACTTGGTGACACTTCTTGCTTTATGGCAGGGTGCTGAGTCATGCATAAAGGTGAAGTTCTCACCATCAGGGAACCATGCCCTGAGTGTTGGCAACAATCGACTTTGTAACACTTCTTTATATTAGTGTTGTCTCATGGTCCCCTGGACAATGTAGAGCCGTCCAACACCTATGACTGACCACACCATTATTTTGACAGGGTGTTTCAACCTCTCCAAGATACAGTCGGGGTGATATTTTTTCACCTGGGCGCCTTCTGACGAACCTACTTTTGTCGGTAAAAATTTCAAAAGTTGATTCATCGGGAAACACACCTGAAAAAAATAGTAATGTTGAATAATGTTATCGAATATAATGGCAAATAGGAAAAAACAACAGAAATAAGGTAAACTGACCTTATTCCAGTCCTCAATTGTCATTTGTTGATGTTCCCGAGCCCAAGCCAGTCGCTTTTTTTTCATTGCTTCAGTCAAGCGAGGTTTTTTTACAGGACGATGGCCTGTTAATCTTTCTTCTGCCAACCTGCGCTGCACAGTTCTCTTGGAAACTGATATTCCAGATTCTTGGACTAACTGAGTTAACAGGCTAGCACTTTTTTTTCGATTTTGTAGACAGATATCTCTAACTGTCTGAACGTGGTGTTGTGACGCCGCTTCCTACCACTGTTGCCTTTTCTCTTAGGCGACTACGAAACTGCTTTTTGTCCAAATTAATTTTTATTCTATTAACTACTGACTTGGAAACACCAGCAATATCTGCTATCTTCCTTTGGGAATGAGTGGTATGCTCGAGAAGGGTTTTAATTTCTGATTTTTTCCTAGTAGACAAATTACACCCCTTACCCATGCTGGAAGACGAAATAAATAAAAATTATCAAAATTATTCAACAAAAAAATATTTATATAATAATAAATAAATACATTTTGACACAATTTAAAAGCACAAATATAAAACTTACTTTGTTTGAAATCTTCAAATCCGTCTTTCACTCTATCGCGTCTTAAGCATAATGCGGCTCGCACGCTATTAAAAATTTTTTAAAATATAAAAACAAACCCCAAAAATCTCAAAATCTACTTATTATGTTAGCGAAAGAAGCAGGTCAAACGATATAATAAATTTCATCTCCACTCTAACCACTTGAACTGTACTCAAGTGTATCCAAAGTCAGAAAACAAGAAAAAAATTGACTGTCCCTAATAATTTGGCAACCCACTGTACATCTATCCTCGATTACGAATCAAAGTGCACATGCATTGTCATCCGTAAGAAATAAGATGGAATGCCTCGTTTGCAGTAAAAAGGGTCTCCGGTTCTCTACACTCACCATACGAAACACAGCAGCATCAAGCTACTATTTGACGCTGGTATTCTGTGAGATCATGGTCCTTCCCCGGTCGAGCCGAACCATTCGTGCTACAACTATAATACCAATATAATTTCAGCATGGCTCTGTCACGTATAAAAGGCTGTGAGGCATTCCATCTCAGTACCAGAGGTGATGCATCTGTAGTCGTTTTTGTTTGAAGTTAGAGCTAGTTAATAAAGATAAAGAAATATAGACATTGATGAGAAATACCGCCTAAGACGAAATCGGATGATCATTTACGTTTTACGGTTTATATTCAAATTCCTTCATGCACTTAACATTACACTTTTTCACGACAGAAATATATTCTTACTTATTCTATTTTAAGCCGTGCTAGCTCAGGGGCTAATCGCTCGCTGTAAATATCACAGTCTGCAAGCAATCTGGGTTCGAAACCCATTGGCACCAATGTAGTTGTTAATACAATTTTAAATGCTGTATTACCACATGCTCTATGGTGAAGATAAACATTATTAAAAAACATGTACATCTATAAATTTAAAAAAAATATTGAAATACTCGGCGAATTTGTCCTAGCCCTAAAACCTTCTCAGAAATGAGAGGAGACTTTTGCTCAGGAGTGGGACGTAGTAGACTGTAACTTAACTTTAATTCTATTTTTCAGGTGATACATTATTCTTGGGCGGTTGCGGCAGATTCTTTGAAGGCACAGCAGACCAAATGTATCATGCTTTAATTGAAGTCCTAAGTAGGCTTCCAAACGAAACAAAAGTGTTCTGTGGCCATGAATATACATTACAAAACTTAAAATTTGCATTACATGTCGAACCGGATAATGAAAATGTTAAAGAAAAAATCAGTTGGTCAAAACAGCGCAGAGAAGATGGGAAGCCAACAGTAAGTAGTAAAAACAACTGATTAGGTACTTCATGAGTCCATTGAACTTTTAACATTCTTCTGGTGCCATCAAAGTGTAGCCATTGTCATCAACATAGTAGCAGTGTTTTACACTGGTGAACACAAAAGTGTTCACCGTGTAGTTGCGGAGCAAGAGAAACTAGTAAGTAAGTAAGTAAATCCTTCCGTAGGAGTCTGAAGAAACTGGTAATGGGCAGCATTACCTTCCTGATAACAATTCGAATATAAAAAAATACCAGCTCAGTGTGATAAATATAGCAAATATGGAAAATATTTACGAGGTAAACTATTGGCAAAATAAAGTCTAAAAGTTGGGAAACAAATATACTTGGCGGAGCAACGATGGGGGCCTAACGGGGCAGGGTGCGACCTTGTGCCAGCGCACTCCCGCTAAGTCTGCTGTACAATGCAGGCGGGTGATGCGAGCGTGTTTTATTTATTTAACTAATTTTAAGAGCCGTTTTCGAAAAAATATCTACAATGGTGAATTACTGTTTTAATAAAGTTGAATTCAAATGACGGCCATGCTTGTGTTTCCCTATTTCTCTTACTTTTTTTTAGATAAAATTGTTAATCTAAATTCGTATACACCTCCATAATGAAATTAAAAAATTGAAAACTGAAGACATCTATAATAATAAAGTGTCACGAAAATGTTTCGCAGTGCAACACTTGTAAATGTATTTTTTTTTTGAAGTAATAAAATGATGTTTTTCAATAAATGTTTTAGTAAGTGTATAGTGTTAATAAATGACTATGAGTATTATAATATCTAAAATTATTTTATTCCCAGTTTCGCGACAACACCTAGCACACACGCCGCCCGCATACGCGGGTGCTGGCATCACTTGACATCAAAGGCGCTTCACAACTGTTGGTCTTTAAACAGTGATGTTGGGGAGGCTTGTTTCCTTAAGCGGGCTACATACGAGATGATATCGGTGTCGATCTAGGGTGGAAAGAAATCGGGGCTTTGTCGGAGCAGACCCTACACACGGGCCTGCCGAGCAGTGCGCGTTCGGACTCAGAGCGGAACGCATGTACGGGAGAGTGCTTCAAAATGCCTCCAACTCTCTCATTACACCAACGTGTTGGCATTAGCCAAGCCAGCATTAAGCTACCATTTTATGATTGATTATATGATGGGTGAAGACAGTTTTAGCAACTTTCTGCAAATTATTTTGCCACTTATAGAAAAACAGAGCATGGTAATGAGAGAAGCCAGAAACCCAAGAGAACTGCTAATAGCAACCTTACGATATTTGGACACTAGGCCTAAAATTCAGTGCTGTCATATCGCCTTACTTAATATCGATAATGGTTCCCGAGACTTGTGTGGTTATCACGAATGTCTTAAACATTATATATATTATTATATTCAGGTAAGTGAAGGCCCAGGTTCTACCAAAGCATTGATGCGTGAGAGGAGAGATACTGATGTTTTAAGTTTCTGCTACCTATGCTATTTAGTTACTTCTTCTCTTTGTTCATTTCTGCTTGGAACATCATCTTTAGTGTGGCGTTCCTTGCGTCTCTATTAAAATAATTTATATTTTGTTTATCCCGCATATGTGGATTTAGATTATAAATATCTATAATTCAAATCTATGCCTCCCGTTCTTCTTCAGAAACCATATTGCAGAGTATTTAATCACGGTTTTATTAACGTCTTTCCGCGAGGGCTGCCAGCAGCGACTGTCAAAAGAAATCGGGCCGATGCACCTACACACACGCAGTACCGAGGGGGCGGGGCCCCGATCTAAGAAGCATCGGCTGCATTTTTGCTCCTGCCAGCCAATTAAGGAGGCGATATCGACCACGTCGCATGTGCCACCGATATCGTTTTACATACGAGATGATATCGGTGGCGATCTAGGGTGGAGTGGTGGGGATGCCTTCTAGATTGCCTCTAAATCGTGTCGTATGTAGGGCCATCCTAAGTCGTGGCCGATATCGCCTCCTTAATTGGCTGGTCCGTACTTCGTGTGTGTAGGTGCATTGGCCCGATTTCTTTCAACAGTCGCTGCTGGCAGCCTACAGAGTACTTTTTCTATACCTGAAATGGCAGCCCTCGCGGAAAGACGTTAATAAAACCGTGGTTAAATACTCTTTGCAAAATGGTTTCCGAAGAAGAATGGGAAGCATTGATTGAAATTATAGATATTTATAAACTAAATCCACGTATGCGGGATAAACAAAATTTAAATTATTTTAATAGAGATGCAAGGAACGCCACACTAAAGATGATGTTCCAAGCAGAAATGAACAAATAGAAGAAGTAACTTAATAGCATAGGTAGGAAAAACTTAAAACATCAGTATCTCTCCTCTAACGCATCTCAGCTTTGGTGAAACCCGGGCCCTTACTTACCTAAATATAATGTTTAAGACATTCGTAGATAATCCGACAAGTCTCGGGATTCATTGTCGACATTAGGTTTTTTTTTATAGGATAGGGTGACAAACGAGCACACAGTCCACCTGATGGTAAGTGGTTGCTGCGGCCCATAGACATCTACATCTATCTTCCATTACAAATCAAAATGCAGATGCGTTGTCACCCGTGAGGACTGAGATGGAATGCCTCATTTCCAGTAAAAAGGGTCTCCGGTTCTCTACACTCTATTCTGTGAGAGCGTGGTCCTTCCCCGGTCGAGCCGACCCATTCGTGCTACACCTATACTACTAATATAATTGCAGCATGGCTCTACCACGTAAAAAAGGCAAATGACAGGACTGAATTTTAGGTCTTCATAAATTTGCCCAGTGACTACCAAATATAGCAAAGTTGCAATTAGCCGTTCTCTTGGGCTTATGGCTTCTCCTATCACCGTGCTCTGTTTTTCTGTAAGTGGCGAAATCATTTGTAGAAGGTTGTTAAAACTGTGTTCATCCATGCGGAGAAAATTATTCATGTCTTTGGACTCCAGACCATTTAGTACGTTGATGTGGCTTAGTTTTTGTCTCTTTTGGAGCCATTTTTTCACCCAGCAACTCCTCTTTTTTCTATTTTCGAATAAATTAACTGAGAGGGCTGCCAAACCAACACGTTGATGTTTTGAGAGAGTTGGAGGTATTTTGAAGCGTTCTCCCGCACATGCGTTCCGCTCTAAGTCCGAACGCGCACTGCTCGGTAGGCCCGTGTGTAGGGTCTACCCCGATAAAGTCCCGATTTCTTTCCACCCTAGCGGGTTACATACAAGATATCATCTTGTATGTAGCCCGCTTTAAAATATAAAACTGGTTTGAACTGAACTAACATATGGGAATAATTCAATTTTATTTACAGGTGCCTTCAACAATTGCTGAAGAAAAGTTATACAATCCGTTCATGAGAGTAATGGAGGCAGCAGTCATGAAACACGCAAACAAAACTGAACCAATAGAAACTATGAAAGCAATCCGCCTTGAAAAAGATGGCTTTAAAGGTTAATTTAAAATAACAAAGATACATGTTATAATAATAATTCTTTCTATAAATAAAATATTTTTTTATTTAATTATTTATATCACGTATCCCAGAAATCAACATCAAGTCGAAAACGGGCAATAGGCCAAGTTGTGACAGTTATTAGAAAAATATAAAAAAAATCTTGGTCATGTACTTTTCTAATTATAAGGTTTCAAAAATAAACCTCAAAAACTGACACCCTGTGATGATCTTTCAAGTCCTGTGACTACAAATACTAGCTTTTCGTCAGTTTCTTTTCTGTGATGTAACCATGAATTACCCTATATTACAGTTAAAATTTAAAACATAATTGCCTAAGTTTTAAATAAAATATTAAATGAATGTCCAACATTAAATTCAAAATAGTTACATCACCCGACAATAACCGTCGATATTGTAAAAAAAATATCCTACACTATTTTGGCAAGTCTGGATTTGAAAATTTTATAACACTTATGAATTGCTACTTCTTAATTGAGAAAAAAAAAAGTAATTTGTTAGTTTTAGGTTTAGGTGCATTTGAAATGAAAGGCAGTTATATTTCTTTAGTTATGATTTGTATTAAATCAGATTTACATCAAATATTCGAAATGTTTGCCTTCAGCTCCAATACAAGCTCTACATCTCTGTAAAAACGATTGCGTAATACGACGGGTGTATCTTCTCGATTTTTATGTATTCATCGGCTCATGCAATTCTTTGGCACAGCTCGCCTAAATCTTGAAGAGGTTTACACTTTATCCTTTATCGTAACCCAGTAAAAAAAATCTATTGGGTTTAAGTCGGGTGAACGAGCAGGCCTCGAAATTGTCCCACCCCGCCCAATCCACCTATCGAGGTATTCTCGATTGAGAAACGTACTGTGAGAGCATAATGCGCTGGGCTCATATTGTTGATACCACATGCTGCCGTAAATGTTCAGCGGCAGTTCTTCCAATAAATCTGGTTGGTTGTGTATGAAATCTAAATAACCCTAGGCATTTAAGTTCTCCGGCGACTCGATGGGACCAATAACTTTACCATTCAAATTTCCCGATCACATATTGCGATCTGTCTTTACGCATCAAATTTGGATTTTCCACGTGCCATTCGTGTAAATTATGGAGGTTCATGTAGCTGTCCTTTTTAAATGTAGATTCATTGGACTATAGAATTTTTTCGAAGAATCACGGATCCTCTCGGTGCTTCTGCAACATGCACGCTGTAGTAAGCAGTTGAAGAAGACCAAAGTATCTCACTCGTCTTCTTCAACTGCTTGCAAGACTTCGGCTTCGTAGGGCATAACGGGTCTTCCCTCGCTAACCATTTGACTAGGGATTCGACGCTCTTCATTTGGACTCTCACGATACATTCTTGCTGCAGCATTGGCGTTGCATAAACATTCTCCATAAATGAGATGTTTGTTGGCATATTCCTGTGCGGTGTATCGAGATGGCATGATGACACACTACACAAACACGGGATTACGATTACAACAAGTTCGGGGTCATCGGAAACGGTGCAGATAAATCCAAATCACAATGCAAACTGTAATTTACAGAAGGGTCATTCATGGTTACAACGCAGAAAAAAAACTGACGAAAAGTTAATATTTGTAGTCATAGTAGTTTTGAAAAAAATATTTTACAGCAGATGTTAAGTTTTTTTTTTAATATGAATATATTAAAAAAAAAACTTATAATATGCTTCATACAAGTCAATTCGGTTTCATAGAGAGTCGCTCGACAACCGACGCCGGAATTGAGATTATAAAACATATTTTTTGTGCATGGGAGAATTCAGAGAACGCTTTGAGTATATTTTGTGACCTTTCCAAGGCCATCGACTGTGTTCACCATGAGACATTAATCAGGAAGCTACAGTACTATGCTGACAAGAACACAGCGCTTAAACTTATTATTTCATATGTAAGTAAAAGCACGCAGATTTATTATCAATGGTAAAAGTTCTTCTGGGTCGCCCGTACAAATGGGTGTCCCTCAAGGCTCAATTCGTGGTCCATTCCTATTTTTAGTGTATATAAGTGACTCACTTTCCCTTGTAGGGGATAATCATGATGCAGTATTATTTGCTGATGATACTTCCTTGATTTTTAGGGTTCCGTAGTCAACTAGGAACCCTTATAGTTTCGCCATGTCTGTCTGTCCGTCTGTCCGTCCTCGCTTAATCTCTGTGACCGTTAGCACTAGAAAGCTGAAATTTGGTACCAATATGTGTATCAATCACGCCGACAAAGTGGTAAAATAAAAATTGGAAAAAAATGTTTTATTAGGGTAGCCCCCCTATATGTAAAATGGGAAGTGATTTTTTTTAATTTCAACCCTAACGTGTGATATATTGTTGGAAAGGTATTTAAAAATGAATAGGGGTTTACTAAAATCATTTTTTGATAATGTCAATAATTTCGGAAATAATCGCTCCAAAAGTAAAAAACAATGTGTCCCCCCCTCTAACTTTTGAACCATAGGTTTAGAAAATATGAAAAAAATCTGAAAGGTAGAACTTTATAAGGACTTTCTAGGAAAATCATTTTGAACTTGGATGGAAACAGTTTTTGTACAAAAAAGACAAAAAGTTGTACAAAATAATTTCTGGACTAAGTTTGTAGTATAATCGTATATGCAAGCATTTTTTTCAACTTCGTTTACATATTTTATTATCCTTAACGTATATTTTTTGAAACAAAAAAAGAATTATTAAAATTGGTTCTCGCAATCCAAAATTACCACCGAAAACTTCTGGCACGTCTATGTATTAATTAGTAACCCAATTCCCCGAGAGATGGCGCTGTAGGTGCTTATTACATTGGGTCGGGTATTATCGAATTGTTCGGTTGGTCTCTCCTTGGCATCGCCTGCCGCGGAGCTTGCAATGTTGCACGCTCCATGTTCGCGCACGTACCCACTACCTGGAGCAGTTGCAGGAGCGCGGAGCGCTGCTGGAGCGCGAACATAATGGATACCCACCTTTAAACTCATAAGTGGGAACACTTATTGTGACGGACGGGAAACTACGGAACCCTACACTGAGCGTGGCCCGACACGTTCTTGGCCGGTTTTAAACTTGAACATCAATCAAATGTGACGAAGTGAATAATGTTAGATCTAAATTAGTGCATTAGTTTAACGTTAATAATCTACATTAAAGCGGAAATAAAACTAAATGTATTAAATTTACAACAACGAATGTTGAATATCTGAATACCAATATGTTCTTAAATGGAGATGAACTGAGTCCTTTTGAATCCTCTGTTTTTCTTGGCATCACTCTCGCCACAAATCTTCAGTGGGGCCCTCATTTATCCAAACCAGCAAGCAGACTTAGCTCCGCAGGTTATGCTATAAAAGCTTACACACAGCTAGATTAGTTTATTTACAGTTATTTTCATAGAATATTGTCTTACGAGATTTTGCTATGGGGAAATGTGGCTGATTTATTTATACTAAGGGATATAAAGGGCGGACTTAATGCCTTATGGCATTCTCTGCCAGTCAACCCTGGATGATTTGAGAAACTGTGGCAGGTGTAATCAATCACTTCATAAATAAATAATATAATAAATAGTAAAATATACATACTTAATATATAATATAGAATAAATAATAAATATATAAAGGGTACTTCTATACAAAACTATAAGTAAATAAAATATTATGAGACAAAAATAAAATAACACAATACATATTAAAATACATTATACAAAATATTACTTATGAAGTGAAAGAGAGGAAAAAAAACAATAGTCGGGTAGTCAGGTGGTATTATTCTAACGACAGAATTCTCGAACTAGTCTTTTAAAATAATTCTTGTTATTAGTTTTCTTGATATAAACAGGCAAGGCATTCTAGAGCAGTATTAGACTACAGTAAAAGAGGAATTATGGTTCATAAAAGATAGCTTGATCTCTGCGACAGCTGTCAGTAAAAGTCACGCCTATGAAGTCCTGAATTTCTTAGTAGTACAGACAGTGCCTGTCAATGTCATACTTTATGGGCATGCCGACCTAATTAATGCATGCCCATGTGATTTTACTGACAGCTGTCGCAGAGATCAAGCTATCTTTTATGAACTATAAAGAAACCACTCCTATGTGGTGGAATACGAATTTTAAGACAATTTTGGGAACGGGGAACTCTATCGTTAGTGGAATACAAATATTGAAAGTTATCCTTAAGATAAGAGGGAGAATTGGGGCATTTAAAATTGAATGTAGTACTTGCAAAGTTCGGGAGCTACGCCTTTGACGAATAGAGAGCCATTTAAACTTAGATCGGTACTGGGAAATATGGTCATACTTAGCCGTATTTTAGTAACTATTTTTATTTTGCCTAACAACCTAAAACCGAGGGTCTCTTAGAGAAAAAAAATTAACTTTGGCCTCTCAGTATATTTACGAAAATTTAATGCATGTTCCCAAAAACAAGGGTAGTTTTAGTAAAAAAAGTGATATACCTATACTCTGTAAACACTAGTACAAACAAGCTAGTGATACCAGTTTCTCGACTCCATAGTCAGTAATTCATTCTTGGAGCAATGTATACGCTATTAGAACATAGCCCCAGAAAATATACAAGGTCTGCTCTATTACCAAGTTTAAATATTACTATTACTGAACGTACTGGTTGTACATTCACGTTTTCAAGTTTTGAGTTTAGAACGCTGCCCAGCAGAGTTAAATCCGTAGATTGAACTCTATTCCGATGATATCCCGGACGTCAGTCTGAGTGAGAATAGAATGGGTTTCCAGCATCTTAAAAACGGCAAGACCCCGGGTGACTGGAGTTTCTGAAAGCGGGTGGGAAAAGTCCTTCAGAAGCTTTTCCATTCAGTCATTCATGGTAGCACTACTCCGGAGGCGTGGAGCAGAAGTGCAGTGGTCTTGTTCTTCAAGAAAAGCGATAACACTTTCTTGAATAACTACAGATCTATTTCCCTTATGTACCGAGTTTAAGTGCTGTTTTCAAGAGTCATTACATATCGTC